TTTTTCCAAAAGAACAGTAGGTCCTATGGCTTTAGAGCACTTCACCAGAAACCACTGAGCAGAGCATACTATTTGAAAGTGTAGACAACATGGATTAAAAATAATTTTATCTCGTGTTTCCTGACTGCGGACGTGTTGTAATATCCTCTGCTAAGGGACGTCAGTTTTGTCCTGTAGGAGACCATCTTTTCTAACCTCCGCTAGTTATGGCAAGTTCCCCAGGGTCATTTCATTTCCTGTATCGGTTATTTAGGTCATTCTTCCCAAGATACCAGGACTTTTCCTCATGGTGGTAAAAGCAAGCAAGCACTCTTGCATATTAATAAAAATCTACAAATAAATTTGTAACTAGATTAAGTTCATACTGAATTATGAAAAAAGTTTTATTCATATTTTAAACATGCGAATTATAAAAGCTGAGTGTAATGGAATAGGCTTTTCTAATTCACTTTCTATTTTTAGTTTAACTGTGTAGAATTTTAAAATACTTTTATCGTTTGATTTTACTAAAGTTTAAGTTTGTGTGCACGGGATCCCTTACACTTAGCAACAGAGTCTTAGTTCTGACAAAGAAGTGAAGGGTTATTGTAAGCGTGATGGATCCCATGCGCACAGACTTTAGTCGTAAAGCTGTCCCTGTCAATATTTGTTTCTAAGGCTCACTATTGCTCTCACAGATTTGCTGGTGGCGTTACTGAAGGTCTATACCTCGTAAGTGTTTAGACTGGCTGTCATCCAGCCTGACGTTACCTGTACAAACACTTTCACTGGAGGGGTCTGCGACTTCTCTTTCAGTGTAATGGGAACTCTGCATCAGGGTTGCTTCCTTTTTCCTTCATCTAAGACTTTCCAGTTTACCTGTGTGGTTCCCACACCCACAGAACCTCAGGATTGGAAAGAATTGGAAAGAAATGGCTAAATCAACAAGTACAAAGCAGTATTTAGAAACATCATGAAATGAACAGCTACCATCCACCGCGAGTTTTCTATACATTTAATAATCGCAGTAACTTTACACTGAGGAGATCCTTATTTTACAAATGAAGGCCCACATCAGGTAACCTCACAAAGGGAAGCAAGTTGGCCAGAGTGACAGGATGAGTAAGAGGCAGTGAGGGGATTCAAACATGTTCCTACCTCAAAATCACTTTACCTACAACTCTAGCTTAAGTCAAGATTTACGTTGTTTCACTGCAAGGCATGGATCTGACAATAATATACTGGGGTAAATTTACATATAATACAGTAGACACATCTTAAGTACCAATTTTATATATCTCTGAATCTGTGTAACCACCTCCTGGATCTGATGGTCAAAATCACCTGAGGAGTTGGGGAAAAAAATCAATTCCAGAGTGAATGAAATCATAATGTTACAGGAATAAGAATTTTCTTAAAAGCTCTTCATGTGAATTTTAAGATCAGTATTTTGGAACTTCTGTAATAAAGCACTGTAGTATGTTAGATTATGTATGAAGCCTGGATATCCGGTCACATATCAAAGTGCAACAAACATTTATTACATTAAACTGATTGGTTATATTAAAAAAAAACAGGTTTTCATTTCATTTCTACATGCTGAGTTCTGATAAAAAAATTAAGTTTTCAGATTAGAAAGGATAATTTCTTTTCTTTTTTTTGAGACAGAGCCTCAAGCTGTCCCCCTGGGTAGAGTGCTGTGGCATCTCCAACCTCCAACTCCTGGGCTCAAGCGAGTCTCCTGCCTCCACCTCCCAAGTTGCTGGGACCACAGGCGCCCGCCATAACGCCTGGCTATTTTTTTTCGGTTGCAACCATCATTGTTGTTTGGTGGGCCTGGGCTGGATTCAAACCTGCCACCTTAGGTGTATGTGGCTGGCGCTTGAGCCACTTGAGCCACAGGCACTGAGCCAGAAAGGATAATTTCTAGAGAAATACAAATGAACTAAATATAATAAAACTTGCTTACTAAACAACCTTTCTTAGCACTAAAGAATAAAATGCAACTATTAATATTAATATATGTCACTAGGTGATACTCTGTTACACTTCTCTCTCATTAATCTGAGAAATTACAACTCTTTCATTCACATGGGAAATAATTTATGCTAGGTCTTGTAACACCTTGCTTGGTTCTTCACAAAATTAAATAGCTCCGAAAAGAAAACTTATATGCTGGCAGTGGTTGTGGCTCAGTCAGCAAGGGCACCGGCCACATACGTAGGGTGGTGGGTTTGAATCTGACCCGGGTCTGCTAAGTAACAATGACAACTGCAACCAAAAAATAGCTGGGTGTTGTGGCGGGTGCCTGTAGTCCCAGCTACTTGGGAGGCTGAGGCAAGAGAATACTTAAGCCCAAGAGTTGGAGGTTGCTGTGAGCTGTGATGCCACAGTACTCTACTAAGGGCAACAGCTTTAGACTCTCTCTCTCAAAAAAAAAAAAAAGAACATATAGCCAGGCATTGTGGTAGGCACCTGTAGTCCCAGCTACTCAGGAGGGTGAGGCAAGAGAATCACCTAAGCCCAGGAGTTGGAGGTTGCTGTGAGCTATGACATCACAGCTCTCCCAAGGGCAATAAAGTGAGACTCTGTCACTAAAAACAAAAACAAAAACAAAAACAAAAACAAAACTTAGATGCCAAAAAGGAAAGCCACATAAATAATATGGGAGAGAAAAGTTCTCTAAGACTATAAGCTTAGAATATTGAGACTTCTGTATCATGAATATTTCTCCACTTACAGGCAATATTTTATTTAATATCTTGATAAGATTTTATATTTTTATTAACAGAGTTCTTGAGCACTTTTTATTTCTAGGTAAGAGTTTTCTTTTTCTTTTTTCTTTTTGCAGTTTTTGGCCGGGGCTGGGTTTGAACCTGCCACCTCCGGTATATGGGGCTGCCACCCTACTCCTTTGAGCCACAGGTGCTGCCCCTCTAGGTAAGATTTTTCTGGTGTAACTAAAATGTTTATCTGTGTCTTTATTTTTTCATGTTGAGATACTTTAAAGTACATTGACATCACACCCCTAAATGTTTCCATATGTATCTCTAAAAAAACCACTTAATGAAAATTATTCCTGGGCGGTGCCTGTGGCTCAAAGGAGTAAGGTGCCATATGTTGGAGGTGGCGGGTTCAAACCCAGCCTCAGCCAAAAACTGCAAAAAAAAAAAAAAGAAAGAAAGAAAGAAATTATTCGTTAATAATATTACCTATTACCAAAAAACCAAATAGTCAAGAAAGATAAAAAGGGGCTCAAGCTTACTAGTAATTAGAGAAATATAAAGTGCTCAAGCTTACTAGTAATTAGAGAAATAGAAATAGATTAATAAGACAAAGAGATCCTATCGCCCACAGAGCACATTGGCAAGAATTTTAGAGTCAGGTAACAAGTGTTAGATACAATACAGAGCATTGAAACTTCAGTACAGGGGTGGCGCTTATGGTTCAAAATGGTAGGGTGGTGGCCCGTATGCCAGAGGTGGCGGGTTCAAACCCAACCCCTAGCAAAAAAAAAAAAAAAAAAACCCACAAAAAAAGAAACTTCAGTACATTGCAATAGGGAAGGGAAAGTCCCCCTGAAATTCAAGATATACATACCTGATTCCTTCTACCACTGAAACATACCTCACAGAAATGAACATATATATATCAAGAAACACATATAACTATGTTCATAACAGTATTGTTTGCAATAAAAAAAATAAAAAATTTCAGGCTCAGCGTGCCCTTAGCTCAGTGGTTAGGGTGCCGGCCACATACACCGGAGCCGGCAGGCTCTAATCCAGCCCAGGCCTGCTAAACAACAATGACGACTACAACAAAAAAACAGGTGGGTGTTGTGGCAGGTGCCTGTAGTCCCAGCGACTTAGGAAGCTGAGGCAAGGGAATCCCCAAGAGTTTGAGGTTGCTGTATGCTGTGAGGCCACGGCACTCTACTGAGGGCGGCATAGTGAGACTCTGTCTCAAAAAAAAAAAAAAAAAATTAAAAATTTCAGAGAACTCAAATGGCTCTCAACATTAGAAAAAGTGAACTATGGTAAGTAAATATATGGAATAATGCACAGTAATGTAAAAAGAACAAATTAAAGCTCTTGCAATGTGGACCAATCCCACAAATTTTGTAACAATGAAGAAAAGAGACACAAAAGACCACATATAGTATAAATCTGTTTATATAAAATTCAAAGCCAGTGCTTGTCACTTATTTTTCAATGGTTCAGCACATATAATATACATGTATATCCATCAATACAGATGCAAAGAAAACAAGATAAAATATTATTCTTATTCTTTTTAATTGAGACAGGGTCTCAGTTTGTCACTCTCGGTAGAGTGCCATGGTGTCACAGTTCACAGCAACCTCTAACTCTTGGGCTCAAGCAATTCTCTTGCCTCAGCCTCCCTAGAAGCTGGGACTACAGGTGCCCGCCAGAACACCCAGCTATTTTTTTTGTTGCTTGTTTAGCAGGCCCGGGCTGGGTTTGAACCCACCGGCTCCGGAGCATGTGACCAGTGCCCTGACCACTGAGCTATGGGTGGTACCCAGTAAAATAGAAAAGCTAAGTAAAGAATATGCAAAAGTTCATTGAACTATTTGGCTACTTTCTGTAGGTTTGAGATTTCTTAACATAAAAAAGAGGAAAGGGTTCAAAAATCAGAGAAAGGTAATTTATATTATTTACCAGTACAAACAGAGGTGGTAGAAAGATAAAGAAAATAATCATCAAAATTCAGAGTAGTGGCAACTTTGGGAAGGATGAATTTTGCTGAGAGAAAGAGAGCCCTATGAGACTCGGGAGGAAGGAGGGTTCTGATGCTGGCAGTTTCTACCCCAAGGTGTAAATGAACAAATTCTCTTTATAATTACATATTAAACTATATGTATATATATCTATATATATAAATTCTATGCAGCTTTCTGTATGCATATTTTACAAAAGGCAAAAGTTTAAAAACAATGCAATCAAATATACAAAAATACTTTCAAAGAAAAATTGTTATAAACAAATACTGTATGATTGCTAAACATTATTATAAAAAATAAACTGCTTTTGCTTTAAATAAGCCAATGTAAGGGGATTTTTGCTATGTGAGTTGTTAATACTTGAGCATACTCTATCAAAACATACTTACTGAGGACCAATTTTTGTGGCTAGCAATATAATAATGTCATCTTATTTTACCTGAGATAGTTCTTCTATGACTATCAATTCTCAATCTTGTTTAGTTTGGTATTAGATAATATATTCCTCTAAATAACTCCCACGAATTGCAGTATGATACCCCAATATTCATTTAGGCAGATATTCTAGCATATGCTACTTAAAAATTTGTTATAAGAAAACTCTGGCTGAAAGTTTTATAATTATTCAAATATTATATACAGTATGTTGTTCATGTATAAATTCTGCCTATTTTTTTATAGATTTTTTGACTTGATCAGTAGGATTTTACAGTATTTTTTGTGATGGTCAGAGTTTCATACTCTCAAAAAGACTCATAATATAGTCATATTAATTCAGTTGATTGTTATCTTCTGAGTCCTCTAAATCGATATCAAAGTCTAAGTCATCATCGCTTTCTTCATTTCTTCTGCAGCTTCTTCTATGATTGGAACTTTCATTATTTCCAATATTTTCTGTTTTTTCTGATTCTTTATTAAACCTAAAGATGGGAAAAAAAACCTTCTAATTATGTTTTCCTTATTTGACTATGTAGCTTGAAAAGACTTTTACCACTAACATGTATTTCTTTCTTAACAGGAGCCTAATGAAATAAATATAGAGAAAAAGATCTTTGAACAGTAATTTAACTCAAGATCTAACTAATTCTAAAACTACTGTCACTAAAGTAGGCTCAAAGCAATTTATACATATATCCATTAAAGTTGTTATATAAAGGTTGGGCATGGAGGCTCATGGCTATAATCCCAATGCTCTGGGAGGGTGAGGAGGGAAGATCTCTTGAGCTCAGGAGTTCAAGATCAGAGTAAGCAAGAGCGAGACCCCAGGTCAACTAAAAATAGAAAAAACCAGCCAGGTGTTGTGGTGGCACCTATAGTTACAGCTGCTGGGTGGTGTGGGGGGTGCACTGAGGTTGAAGGATCCCTTGAATTCTAGAGTTTGAAGTTGCCATGAGCTAGACAGATGCCATGGTATTCCAGCCTGGGCAACGGAAGCACGACTCTGTCTCAGAAAAGAATTTAAAAGAAGTTGTGATATATAAAGTAATTCTTTCGTAATGAATGTGAACTTAATAAATATTTTATTTTCTTAAAAATATAAAGTTTTATTGTAATGACAGGCAGAGAAAAGTCTACATTTGAGATATATTGCAACTTAACACTAAGAGTTACTGAACACCTCACTAAAAGAAAATGTTATCTATCAATTACTAAGAATAAAATCCAAATACAAAAGGAAATACTCACGGAATAACAATGTCTTCTTTCTTTCCACATTTTGCACAAACTTCAAGCTCATAGGCACATGGTCTACACATTATGTGATAAGAATCTTTCACTGTCTTTTGTAAACATTTAACACTAGAAGTGAAAAAGAATCGAGTATTAATTTTTACTAATCACTCAAGATTTATTTGTTAAAGGGTATAACTCAATGCATATGTGAATAGCCTAAAAAATTAAAATTCCTAGATTTTAATCTCAGATATTTATCTTATGTTGCTTTTAAAATTAATCTAGTATTTCTAGATTATAGTTTATAGATAGATAATAAGTTTATTATAGATGATAAATGTATATTTATTCATAGGGCTGTTAAAGTATAGAAGACTAAAATGTAAAAATGTTGGGCGGTGCCTGTGGCTCAGTAAGTAGAGTTCCAGCCCCATATACTGAGGGTGGCGGTTTCGATCCCAGGCCCAGCCAAACTGCAACAAAAAAATAGCCGGGCATTGTGGCAGGCGCCTGTAGTCCCAGCTCTTTGGGAGGCTGGGGAAAGAGAATCACCTAAGCCCAAGAGCTGGAGGTTGCTGTGAGCTGTGATGCCACAGCACCCTACCAAGGGTGACAGTGAGACTGTCTCTAAAATAAAATAAAATAAAATGTACATATGTGTTAAAACAAGATCAATATACAAAAACCTACTGTATTTCTATTATATATAATACCAATATATAATCCAAAAAATAATAAAATACTTAGATTCAACAAAAGAAATGCAAGACCAACACAACACTTTGAGAGAAACTAGGCCTAACTCTATGGAAAGGTATCTGGTGTTTATGGATTGGAAGATTTCTGGGTTTTTTGAGATAAGAATCTTACTTTGTCACCCTTGGTAGAGTGCCATGGTGTCATAGCTCACAGTAACCTCAACCCTTGGGCTCAAGCGATTCTCTTGTCTCAGCCTCCCTAGTAGCTGAGACTATAAGTGCTCCCCAACATCCGGCTATTTTTAGAGACAGGGTCTTGCTCTTGCCTTGGCTGGTCTCAATCCCATGAGCTCAGGCAATCCACCAGCCGTGGCCTCCCAAAGTCCTAGGATTACAGGTGTGAGCCACCATGCCTGGCTGGAAGACTTCTTATAATATTGGAAGACAGCAATACTACCTCATTTGATCAATATAGTCAGTGCACCTCTCTATTAAAATTTCAGTGGCTTTTTTCCTGCAGAAATTAGCAAGCTAACTATAAAGTTCATAAGGAAATTCTAGAGACCCAAGATAGCCAGAACGATCTTGAAAAGGAAGAATAAAACAGGAAGATCCACACACTCTCATTTCATAACATATTACAAACCTACAGTAATCCAGACTAGGTAGTACTGACTTAAAGATAGATATATAAATCAGGAGCATAGAATTAATAGTCTTAAGTGAAAATAGAAACATGTTATGAATTTATAAAATATATAAAAAGTGAAATACATAACAACAATAATACAAAATTGGCAGGGAAGAACTGGAAGTATAAGATTGTTAAGTAAGTATTTATAATGCATGAAGATAATTAACTAAATTGACATTTATAGAACATTCCATACAACAAGAGGAGTACATTCTCTTCAAGTACAAACAGAACATTCTCCAAAATAGAATATACTCTGGGCTATATGATCAACTTCCACAAATTAAAAAAAAAAACCCAATAAAGTAAAATTTACATAAAGTATACCTTCTTGCTATAATGAAATGAAGAACTGAAACATTACAATGACAAAATATCTGGAAAGTGTCCAAATACTTAAAAATTAAAGAAAAAAAACCACTTCTGGGTGGTGCCTGTGGCTCAGTGGGTAGGGCACCAGCCCCATATACCAAGGGTGGTGGGTTCGAACCTGGTCTCGGCCAAACTGCAACAAAAAATAGCTGGGTGTTGTGGCGGGCACCTGTAGTCCAAGCTACTCAGGAGGCTGAGGCAAGAGAATCGCCTTAGCCCAAGAGCTGGAAGTTGCTGTGAGCTGTGATGCCACAACACTCTACCGAGGGTGATAAAGTGAGACTCTGTCTCAAAAACAAAAATCAAAAAAACTTCTAAGTAACTTATAGGTCAAACAGGAACTCACAAGAAAAATTAGAAAATACTTTGAATGACAATGAAAATATAACCTCAAAGTTTGCACAATGAAACTAAAGTTGTTCTTGGGAAATTTATATAATTAAAAATTATATTAAAGAAGATAAATAATCAAAACTTCTACTTTTTTTTTTCAAGTCAGAGTATCACTTTGTCACCCTTGGTAGTGTGCTGTGGCATCATAGCTCACAGCAACCTCAAACTCTTTGGCTGAAGTGATTCTTTTGCATCAGCTTCTCAAGTAGTTGGACTACACATGCCCACCACAACGCCTAGTTATTTTCAGAGACAGGGACTCGCTCTTTCTGAGGCTGGTCTTGAACTCCTGTGCTCAAGAGTTCCATCCACCTCAGCCTCCCAGAGTGGTAGGATCACAGGTGTGAGCCATTATGTCCAGCCTTAAAATAAAGAAAAGGAAGGGCAAAGTAATGATAAGAATGGAAATTAGTAATACTGAATACATGAAAATGAAGCCTGTAGTCCCAGCTACTTGGGAGGCTAAGGCAAGAGGATTGCTCAAGCCCAAGAGTTTGAGGTAGCTATGAGCTATGACACCAGGGCACTCTACCTAGAGAGACCAAGTAACACTCTGTCTCAGAAAAAAATTAAAAAACAAAACAAAACAAAACATTTTTACCATCAACTCTATGTACATAAATCCAATAGCTGTTGAAATGGACAAATCTTTGTAAAGCTATAAAATCAAAATTCATTGAAGAATAAGTAACTTAAATACTCCTTTATTCATTGATGAAAAATGTAATCAAAGTTTAAAAATCACTAAATTCCAGGCCCAAATGGCTTCACTGATGAATTCTATCAACAATTTAAGAAATGTTACAAATTATACACTAACCCTCCACGAAAACATCATAAGAAGGAAGATTTTCAACTTATTTGATGAGGTCCTAATATCAAGATTAAAAAAAAAAAAAGACAAGACTACAAACTTGTATCTCCAACAACATAAATATAAAAATGTACCACAAAATTTTAGCAAAGCAAATATAACAATGTATAAAAACTAGCAATTTATACAAATTTCATGGCCAAGTGGGACTTATTCTAAGAATACAAAGATGATTCAACATTCAAAAACCAATTAATGAAATTCACCAAAGCAATGTTCAAAGGAAGAAAAACTGTATGATGATTTCAAAAGATGTGAAAAAAGCTTTTACAAAACTTGACATCCATTTGCCATGTTTTGTCATATATAATGTGCTGTTAGTATAATGCACACCCATGTTTTTGGCTCAGATCTTTCTTTTTTTTTTGAGACAGAGCCTCACTTTGTAGCCCCAGGTAGAGTGCCTTGGTGTCACAGCCAGACTTTCATTAGAAGCTGAAATCACTTGGCTAGGATTTTATTGAGAACTTTTGTATCTATATTCGTTAGTCAAATTGGTCTGAAGTTCTCCTTTTTAGTTGGGTCTTTCCTGGTTTTGGTATCAGGGTGATGTTTGCTTCATAGAATGTGCTGGGGAAGATTCCTTCTTTCTCAATTTTTGGGAATAGTTTCTGTAGAATGGGTATGAACTCTTTGAAAGCTGTGATAGAATTTCTGGTGTGAAGCCATCTGGACCAGGGCATTTTTTTGTTGGGAGATTTTTTTTGTTTCTTTGATCTCAGTGCTTAAAACTGGTCTGTTCTTCTTGATTAAGACTAGGGAGAGGGTGTGATTCCAAGTATTGATCCATTTCCTCCACATTACCAAATTTCTGGGTAGAAAGTTTCTTCTGGTATTCAGAGATAATCTCTTGTATCTCTTGTGGCATCCATTGTTATTTCTCTTTTATTGTTTCTGACTGAGGTTACTAGAGACTTCACTTTTCTGTTTCTGGCCAAAGGTTTATCGATTTTATTTTTTCAAAAATCAACTTATTTTGTTAATTTTCTGAATAACTTTTTTGTTTTCAATTTCATTAATCTCTGATTTAATTTTGGTTATTTCTTTTCTTCTGTTGGGTTTAAGGTTAGATTGTTCTTTTTTTTTCCAGTTCCCTAAGATGGCTTGTGAGTATGTTGATGTGCTCACTTTCTGTTTTTCTAATGTAGGCATCTAGTGAAATAAATTTTCCTCTCAGGACTGCTCTTGCTGTGGTATCTTACCACAGGTTTTTAGTAACTTGTGTCTCCACTGTTGTTATGTTTGAGGAAACTAACAATTTCCTCTTCTATCTCTTCCTGAACGCAACTATCATTTAGCAGAAGGTTATTTAATTTCCATGTCTTTGGGGATGAACATTTTTGTTGGAGTTGAGTTCTACCTTTATAGCCTTGTGGTCTGAGAAGAGAAAGCTATAATTTCTACTCCTTTAATTTTGCTGAGGTTTGATTTGTATCCTAGGATGTGATCTATTTTGGAGTATGTGACATGGGCTGATGAGAAGAGTATATGGTTTTGCTTTGAGATGATGTGTTCTGTATATGTCTATTAATCCCATTTGTTTTAGGTACATGTTTAAGTCCTTCGTATCTTTTAGTTTCTTTTTTTTTAAGATAGAGTTTCACTATGTCACCCTTAGTAGAGTGCTGTCGTGCCACAGCTCACAGCAACCTCAAACTCTTGGGCTTAACCGATTCTATTGCCTCAGCCTCCCAAATAGCTGGGACTATAGGCACCCACCACAACACCTGGCTATTTTTGTTGTTACTGTTGTTGTAGTTGTTGTTGTTGTTTAGCAGGCCCAGGTCAGGTTCAAACCCACCAGCCCCAGTGTATGTGGTTGGTATCCTAACTACCGACCAACAGACGCCAAGCCTGTTTAGTTTCTGTTTAGAAGATCTATCCAGTCCTGTCAGAGGGGTGTTAAAGTCCCTGGCTATTATGATGTTATGGGAGATCATATTGCTCAGAACCCTCAAGATCTATGAAATAGAGCATTTAAGTTAGGCATAAAAATATTTAAAATTGAGATGCCTTTGTGTATTGTTCCTTTGACCAGTATGAAATGTCCATCTTGTCTTTCTTAACGTTAGTTGCTTTGAATCCATTTGTATCT